GATGGGCGGACAACAGACACACTTGTACCTGCAGTTCCACAAGTAGAACCTGCCAAAAGCATGGCATAAATTGAACCCTCCCTGGTCTGACACTATTCAGTCCAGTAGTCCATGCAATCAGAATACATGATATAACTGGGCCGTCATCCTTGCTGTATGGAGACCCGAACATGGAATAAAGTGGGCCCATTTTGATCAGCATGTCCACCATCACCAAAATGGTTTGGCGCCCTTTGATGGGGGGCAACTCAGTTATGAGACTGCCCCCCAGGGTCTTTCTGGCATGGGTAGCAGCTGCAAGAGACCAGGGCATGCACCCATAGTGTACTTGGCCTGTTGACAGATCCCACACAACGCCACATATCTCGATACATCATGCCGGAGTTGCGGCCACCAAAACATCCTAGAGATGAGCTGCAGCATTTGAAGACCCCAAAGTGACCTGCTGCCGGGCTGTCATGGCATTGGCATAGAATAACGCCATGAAGATGACTGCCAGGTACATAGATGTGATAACGGAACTGCAGCAGGTCCCCAGTATATGCCTAAGGAATGTCCCGTCTCCCATCCTCATCCAGTTCTCAACAATGAGCTGCTACAAACGGATCCTGCCACTGCGCCTCCTGAATCCTGCCTTGAAGGTCCACAGGTTCCTCAGTGCTGCAAACTGCTCCAACGGGATCACCGTCTGAGGCAAGATTTTGTCCTCCCTTGGGGTATACTTGGGCTTCCGGGACAGTGCGTCAGCGTGCTGATTCCATCCACTTGGAACATAGGTCACCTGAAAATCAAATCGAGCAAAAATCAGCGACCATTGCACGTGATGCTGGCTCAGTGTCTGGGGCGTACATAAGGGTTCCAAGTTGCAATGGTCCAAACCTCGACCTGGTGGCGAGCCCCCTCCAGATGGTGCCACCATGTCTCAAAAGCGACCTTAACCACCAATAGCTCTTTGTCCCATAGCGTATAATTTCTCTCTGGAGCCAGCAGCTTCTGGGAATAATAGGCACACGGGAACAAGGTGCCTGCAGGGGCATAGGCCAGGAGGAGCACTGCCCCAAGGGCTACATTGGAGGCATCAGTTTCCACCACGAATGGCAGGAACAGATCAGGGGGGTTGAGGATGGGCTCAGAGGCAAAGGCGGCCTTCAGGGCCTTCCTGCTGCTCAGCATCCCAATGGAACTTCTCCCCTTTCTTGAGCAGATTAGGAAGGGGAGCAGTCAAGGCAGCAAAGTGGGGAATAAATGTATGGTAATCGTTCACAAACCCCAACAGCCGCTGCACGTCTTTGACCCGCTGTGGAGGTTCCCGTGCCTGTAACAAGTCAACCTTTTCTGGGTCCATTTCCACACCGGCAGGTGAAATATGATGATCCAAGAAGTCGATCGTGGTTTGTGTGAACTTGCAGTTCTCGCACTTAGCAAACAGGTGGTTGTCCCGCAAGTGTTGCAACACCAGCCGCCCATGTTGTTGCCAGGGTTCCTGCAGGGATGCCGAGTTGATCAAAATGTCTCCAGGTAAACGACCACGAACTGATCTAATGAGTCACGAAAGACGTCATGCATAAAATGCATAAACATGGTCACCGGAGAGGCTGCCCTGCAGCCTAGCCAAGAGGGGACTTTGAGGCCCAGAATAATAAAATTAGAAGGGACCTTCGGGGTCTTCTAGTCCAGCGGTCACCAACCGATGAACTATGGCCCACTGGTGGGCCACAGAGAAATCTCACCCCCAGAGCACCCCCACAAAGCAATTAATCCAGGCTGTGCAGAAACAAAAGGCCCACACGGCCCCCGGGAGCCCTCCCCGCCACTCCCTCCTTACCCAGCAAACTTGCCTGCTAAAAATGCTATTTTTCCTTTTTCCGACCATCATCTGTTCTGCTGTGCCAGGAGATTTAGATTAGCTAGGAAGCAGGAAATGGTTGGATTTCTTGCTTTCTAGCTAGTCTTTAGATCTTCGGCTCAGCACAGCTGAACATCCCTTAGGACTGAAGGTTTGCTTGCAAGCAAATTCAGTGCGGACTCACGGCAAGAAAATTTGAGAGACTGAGCTAGCCAATGGCAGATGGATAGATTACTGAATGGTTCTGTGAGCAACTCAATCTGTCTGCCTGCTTTGCCTGATTTTGGGTAAAAGTTGCTCTTTTTTTTAAAGTAAAAAATTCAATATTTACATGCATGCGTCCCAGGAAGAGTTGAAGGGCAGGACTCAGGCTGATGCGATCAACGGAAATGAGATCCGGGGATCTCAGGGCGAGGGAGAGCTCCAGGCCGGCCTTGCCAGCATCTCTCGGGGCATCGGAGTCCGTGGAGGAGTGGCAGAGAAGGAGAGGAGGGCAGAGTTGCCCTCCTCTTTGGAAACTGGCAAAGGGGGCCTCAGCCACTTTGGCCTCAGTGCTGGGCAAAGCTCCCAAACGTGGGTCAACCGGTACCTGGGGGCCACCTGGGCGGGGGGCTTCCCTCTCGTCCCAGAAAGCAGGACAGGGAACAAAGGGCCGAAGTGCCAGGGAGGCAACCTCTGGCTGAGCTCCAGAAGGAGAAGTTGGACTGGGGGGTGAGATTTCCTGGGAGGGGCTGGGAATGGGTTTAGGGGGAGGCTGGACGTCTCCTTCGGCTTCCTGCACTGCCCGGGGGTGGTTCTCTGTGGCTCTGGGGCAGGGATGGGGACCCTAAGACAGATGAGTCAAAGGGGACACACCACAACGATTGGGGTGGCATGCCAGCCTTCCCCAAGGCCTTACACTGAGTGCCCCTCTTCAGGGAGAGGAGGCAGGCCACTTTCCCCCTGTGTGCGTGTGTGTGTGTGTGTGTGTGAGAGAGAGAGAGAGAGAGAGAGACTGTCTGTCTGTCTTTCCAGATCCTGGATCGGAGGGGGCTTCGCTCTGCCTTCTTGCTTCTTCTGGAGAGGCCGGGCGCTGTTTACCTTTCCCGCTTCCCCTTGATGCCGCCCGCCTGACTATCCCAAGACCTCTGCACCCATCTAGGCTGTTCTCCTTCCGCAGGACCCCCAGCCTCGTCCAAGAGGAAGGTGAGTGAGAAGGAGGTTGGTGGAAGGAGAGGACCTCTCCCCCACTCTCCCTACTGTCCTTGCCCTGACTTCCTCTGGGAGCCGGGGGGTGGGGGTGGGTTGCCTCCCCAGGGGCAGAGCTGCAGGGCGGGGGGGCAGGGGGGGCTGAATCCCAGGGCTTCAGGAAGGGCAGGTTTCCAGAGCGGGGGGGTAGAGGCTTGGCTGCTGGGCAAGACGGGCGATGGAGTTGTTCTGCCGCCTGCCAGGAGCTCCTTGGCTCATGTCATCGCACAGTAACCCTGATCTGGGGCAGGGAGGGAGGGGTCAGCCTGTTGGGGTTGATGGGGTGACCCCCCCAGGGGACCCAGAGGTTACTCCCGTGTTTCATGTGGTTTTCCATCCAGCTGCCTGGGGGGGGGGCTGCCTGATTCCCCAGCCCACCTCCCTGGGCAGACGCTGGGGCCACCCAGCCCACCTGAGCCGCTTTGGGGTCTGCGGGGGAGGGGAGGGGGAGGGGCGGGAGGGGCGAAGACTGGCAGCAGAGGGAAGCACCCCCCTCGGCCCAGGGATGGGCGGCCTTGTTCAGGGGCCACAGAGTGGGGACCCTGTTTGCTGGCTGGCCCTGAGGGTGCAAAGGGGGCTGGAATGGGGGGCCAGGCGGAATCCAGCTGCCCCAGGAAGGAGGAGCCCCAAATCTAGGGACTCTTCAGTTAAGCGCAGTTTCTCTTGAGCTTCTTCACCAGGACTGGGTCCTTGACTTATGACCACAATTGAGCCCAACATTTCTGTGGCTAAGCAAGACATTTGTTCAGTGAATTTTGCCCCATTTCACGAGCTTTCTTGCCACCATTGTTAAGTGAAACACCGCAGTTGTTCAGTTAGTAACATGGTTGTTAAGTGAATCAGAAGGTTGCAAAAGGCAATCACGTGACCCTGGGACACGGTGATCGTCATAAATATGAGCCACTTGCCGAGCGGCTGAATTTTGGTCGCGTGACCATCATGTGAAAAATGGTCATAAGCCACTTTTTTCAGCAGCGCTGTAATTTCGGTCACTAAATGAGCAGTTGTAGGTTGTGGGCTCCCTATAACACAATTTGTGGAGCCATTTAATGTACAGTTTTCTAGTTTGCACGGCTGAACTTTTCTTTTTTTAAATTAAAAACGGGGCTTTTTGTGGCCTTTCTGAGCCGCAGGTCCTTCCACGCGAGGCCCAGACTGGAGACCGGCCCGAACCCCCTGAAGTGTGACGGACAGGACTTCATTCCCCACCCGACGGAACCCGAGTTAGAGCCGAATGGACAGAAAACGTGCAACAAAATAAAACTAAACCAAATATTTATTTCCAAAAAAACAACACCAGGGATACGGTGCAGGTCGCCCAATTGACAGCAGTCCAGGCAATGCTCCAAGCGAACCCCAGCAGGCCCTCCCCCAAATATAAGGAGGGGGGAGGGAGGGAGAGATGGCACAGAAACCGGGCTTCAGCCCCCCAACAACCAAGGGGAAAGGGAACCCGGAATTTAGCCTGGCATCCGTTTGCCCAACTTCTGCAGGGAGGAGCGATCGAAGCTTCTTGGCCGCCTCGGCAAAAGGACATTAAAATCTCCTCCACACGATACGGAGTCAGAGCCCTCGAGGCTCCGCTCTGTCGCCTTCCTTCGCCCCCAAAATTACTGGGGTAATTTCAGCAGGGGGCTGGACTAGGCGACCTCCAAGGTCCCTCTCAACTCTCTCATTCTGTTTAAGCCAGGTATCCAAATCACCCCCGACGGGAAGCAGCTCTTGGCAAGGCAGAGCCTGCGTTGGATTCCAGGGCAAGAGGGCGCAAAGTGGGGAGCAGACAGGAGCCCCCCCCCCCCCCTTCCAAAACCACATCCTTGGTTCCAAAGTGGCAAGGGCCCCCCCCCCACAACCCCCCCCATGAAGCCTCCCTACCAGAGGCTTCCGGAGGGAGGGAGGGACGGAGGCAAGGGGAGGGGCTCGTGGCCGGAGCTTCCCATCAGTGGATCAGTGGATTCCCACCCCCACCCCCCATGCAGCCCCTCCCTGCTCCTGGCAGGTCTTCCGGAGGCCGAGGGGGCCCGAGGGGGCCAGGGCAGCATTTGGCCCACCGATGAGAGAGGCGGCCCCATCAGCTGGCCAGCCAGGCAGGGGTCAAAGCTGCGCGTCGATGCCGCCTCCGTGTCCAGAGGCCTTTCGAAGCACTGGGGGGGGGGTGGTCCAGGTGGGATGGGTCTCACTGCTCAGGGCACTTCAGGACGTCCTGCTTGAAGGACCCCACCCGGGTCACCTGGTAGCGGGGGCTCATTTGCCAGCAGTAGGGGTGGCGACAGAAGTGGAAGCGCCCTGGAAGAGGGGAAAGGGCTGGTGAGGGCAAGCAGGCACCGCAGAGCGGCCCCAGGGAGGGAACCTCAGGGTCCCCCAGAGGTCATCTCCTCGTGTCCAAGGAGGCCAGGCAGAGGAGAGGTGTGGGGTTCAGGGGCAGCACCCCCATTACTGCAAAGGCTCCTGGGAGGGAGGAAGACACCTAAACCAGACCCAGAGCTCCCAGCCTGGCCTCCGCTCCCGCCCTCACCCCCCCACGGTGTCCCCCAAGGCTGCCTTATTCCCTGGGGGGGGGAGAAAGGCCCTTGGCCCCCCCCCAGCTTCCCCAGGGCCAGGCGTGGCCAGCAGACGCCTCCCCGTCTGCTTTGCATCCCAGAAGGGAGTCAGAGATGGGGGGGGTGCAGAAAGAGCCCCCAGACCGCAACCACCAAGAGTAGGAGAGGAAGGGGAGTTTCCCCCCCACCTCACACCCTGGGGGGTCTCTTGGGGGGGGGGCTCTTCCACCGAATTCAGGCACTCAGGCATCCTCCCCCTTTCTCTCCCAGGAAAGCCCCCACCTAAGAGGGGCTGCCCCAGAGCCAAACCAGAGGAGTTCCAGCAGCCCCACAAGTTAAAAGCTCTGGGTGTGTGTGTGTGTGTGTGTGTGTGTGTGTGTGTGTGTATGTGTGTGTTTGTGTGTGTCAGTGCCTCCTACATGGGGGGGGTTCCCCTTCCCTCCCCCCCCTCCTGCTTGGGCAGAACCAGGGCGGGCCAGCCGGGGTCAGGGATGCTCTTGTCCGCTGCTGCCCTCTAGTGGCCGACTCCCTCCTGCAGCCCCGATTCCCCACAGCTCCTTGCTGGGAGGGGGAGAGTTCCTGGGCTGCCCCCCCCCCCCCGGCACAGGAGCCATGAGGAGGGGGCTGCCGGGCCCCTCCTGCCCCCCTTACCTTTGTACTGGAAGACCAAGTCAGCATCAACGGGGACTCCAGGGAAGAGGCTGTCAAGGTAGCGCGGATACCCCCTGTCCACCCGCTCCTTCTTCACATCCAGCCTGGGGGGGGGTGGGGGCAGGAGGAAAAGTTAGCAAGGCCCCTAAAGATACCCTCTGGATGCCTCTTCTCGGGACCAGACTGAGAATCCCAGCTCTGCTTTCCTTCTCCCTCCAGGCGGTCTAGGGGCAACGCAGCCTCCCGCCGGCCCAGGCAGCCCAGGCAAAGCAGCCGGGGTTGGGTGGGGGCAGCTCCAGCCAGGAGGGGCTGGCTGGGGCTCCCGGAGGCTAGGCGGCTTTGGCTCCCAAAGGAAGGGCCTGCTTGGGCAGGGCCCCCGCATTCAGCCCCGCACCCCAGGCCACGTACCTCCAGAACTGATCTCCGCTGAAGAGCAGGACCCTCCCGTGCCTCCGTATCAGGCTCCCCGCAATCTTGGGCACGTCTCTCCCGATGCCCAGCTTGTCCAGGCTCCGAGGGCCGACCAGGCGTGGCCCCTGGGACACCCAGAAGCGCTGGCCTGCAGAGGAAGGGGAGGGAGGGTGGGTGGCTGAGCAGGGGCCCCTCAGCAGGGAGAGAGGCCGGGGGCCTCCCGAGGGTCCTTTGGGTGGGGAGGGGGCCTCACCTGAGAAGAAGAAGAGCTTCTTGGTCAGAGGGTCCTGGAAAGCCGCGTCAATCACGTCCGGGAGGGCCGGCCAGGTGCTCTGGATGCGCAGGGGGCCCTCCAGGGGACCGGCCCCAGTGCCCGACATGCGCCAGTATTGCCTGAGCAGGAAAGGCAGCTCAGCCTGGGCCCTCCGTGGGCACAGAGAGACCCCCGCCCCCAGCTCCGCCCGGCCCCTCCTGCCTCGCCTCTCACCCGTCCTTGAAGAAGTGCAGCACCTTCTGGATCTCACCCACCCCGTCGAAGCCCCCCAGGCGGCAGGCGCTGCTCCGGCCGTCCCCAGCAGGGGTCTCGGTCACGGAAGAGTCGTCGTCGTCCACGGTGGAGGAGTCCCCAGCTTCGGTGGGGTCCTGGGGAGGCGGGCTGGGCGGCGTGGGCTGAGGGCCTGATCCTCGACCTAGTGGTGGGGGGCAGCACAAGCACATCAGAGGCACAGAGTTCCCCTCCCCTGGGGAGGAAGCAGCTCAAGAGTGGAGCTGGGGGGAGCTCCTTTGATGGTGGGGGACTGCGGTGCTTTGCAGGGGTGGGCTAGAGGACCTCCAGGGGTCCTTCCACATCACGCTAAAGTAATTTGGGCCTCCTGTTTTTCCTGGAAGCGGCTTCCAGACCAAGGTCACTCAGGACACGGTCTCTGAATAGCCCCCCCACAATTCCCCCGGGAGCTCCCCAGGCAGGGCCAGAGGGCTGCCTGTTCCAGGGACCACCACCCCCGCCCACCTGCTCACCATAGAGATACTGGATTCCGGCCACGTCATCCGAGTGCAGCTGGAAGTCAGCCAGGTAGGTGTACATGGGGTACATGAGGGCTTCCCGGACGCTGGAGTGCTCCAGGCCCAGCGAGTGGCCGAACTCGTGTGCCGCCACCAGGAAGAGGCTGTAACCTGGGGGTGCAAAGCGGCAGCAGAGGCCGGACCGGGGCCCTCAGTCCCTGGGGCCCCTGGAACTTCGTCTCCCGCCCCCCCTTCTCCTGCTGAGGAAGGCAGCCATTCCCCTCCCCCTGGCGGAGAGTCCTCCCGACACCCTTGGTGCCTGTGTGTGCGTGCCCAAGTGAAGGGTCCCCCTGCCCCGCCCTGTTCCTTGGCCAAGGGAGCCAGCCCTGCCTGGAAGGCTCTTCTGGGGCCAGCCCAGGTGTGTGCCAAGGGCACGTGGAAATGGTACCTATTTACCTGCCATTTCTCCACTACTGCGCCTGCTCTCAGAGAGGAGCTGGGGCAAGGAACGGGCTGCTCTCCGCCTCGCGTGGCACTCGGTTGGGTGGGCTGAGTCCCCACCCCACCAGGAGGGCGGGGAGGCGGGCTTCCCCCTTACCTTGGTCAGGGCAAAGGCCCCACTTCTTGTCTGCATCGTAGTCGTTGGTGGTGGCGCACCAGAGCTTCCCATCAGTGCGTCCCTCGGAGGTGCAGCTGTTGTACGTCTGGCCCAGGAACTTGAAGGGGAAGGAGCAGGGATCGCCCTGGGAGTTCCCTCCAATCACCGCCGTGTCTGGGGGGGGTGGGGGGAGAGGGAGAGGTCAGCCTTGGCCCCCAGACCCAGAAGTCTGGGCAGCCCCCCGAAGGCCTCAGCGGCCAAGCAGAACCACCTGGAGCGGAACAGGAGACGGTCAGGGCTGGTCTGGGGGCTCTGCAGCTGCACCCCCCTGCACCCCAGTAACGCCAGGGCGTGTCCCTGGGCACGGGCAGAGGGCTTTCCCCCCACCACACCTCCTCCTGACCACCACCTGGCCCCCACCCCACCTACCTCTATTCGGGCAGAAGCCGTATTTCTTGTCCCGGTCAAAGTTGCCGGTGGTGGCGCACCAGCGGTAGCCGTCTGTGCGCCCATCGGTGGTGCAGCTCTGGTAGGATTTGCCCTCGAAGACAAAGGGGAAGACGCACTTCTGTCCGTCGCTGTTCCCGTCGTAGGTGAAGAGCACTAGCAAAGCCGCCAGGAGAAAGGAACTCACCCAAAAGTCCCAGGAAACCAAACTTCCCCCCCCCCTCGCTCCGTTCTCTTGGCGATTTATTACATTCAATTGATACGCCCCCCGTGAAGCTAAAGAAGGAGGACCAGGGGCTCCCAAATGGATGGAAGGGGAGACCTCCCCCCAGTCAGAGCCTGAGTGGGGCCTGCTTGCTTCCCCCCCTCCCGCTTTTCGCTTCTCCCCCTGGGAGGGGCTGGGCAGGTGCCCACTTTTGGACGCACACACCCCCATCTCCCCACACCCCGTGGGGGCAACCAGGGTGTCAGTCCTGATCAATCCACTCGCAGGAGATTCCAGCCACTTCTCTGAAATGGTTTCGGGCAGGGGCCCCCAACCCCAGGCAGGCCGGAAACCGGGACGTGCCAACCAGCGAAGCCCCTTCCAGCAGCACTCGAAACCAGGCCCCCTCCGGCCCACCACCGAAGAAGCTCTCGGCGTGGAGCGGCTCCCTGGGGCCCAAAGGTCGGAAGCTGCTGGGCTAGGGCCTGCTGCTTGAGCAGGGGGCTGGACTAGAAGACCTCCAAGGTCCCTCCCAGCTCTGTTCTGTTCTATGCTCTGTTCTGCCTTGTCCTGTCCCGTTCCGTTCCACTCCCCGCTCCCAGTTTCCGGGCATCGGCTGCTCACGTTCGCTGGGGCAGAAGCCGTATTTCTTGTCCCGGTCAAAGTTGGGGGTGGTGGCGCACCAGGGCAGCCCGTCATCTCGCCCGTCGGTGGTGCAGGAGGCATAGCTTCGGCCCTCAAAGGTGAAGGGGAAGCGGCAGGAAGAGCCGTTGGCGTTGCCAAAGTAGGTCTTCACCACTGCTTGGAGAAGAGGGGGAGCGGCCGTCAGGCGGGCAAGGCCCCGGACCCCAGAGACGCACCAGCCAGCCAGGGGGCCACTCACCGATGCCCGTGCCCAGCGTCCAGAGCTCGTCGTCGTCGAAATGGGCGTCCCCGCTGAACCGGTCTTTGCCGGGAGGGAAGGCGTGGGCCAGGAGGTTGTCCTTGCCATCAAAAGGGTAGCCATCACCGTGCTCTGGGGGGGGGAGGAGGAGAAGGGTCACAGTCCCGGCGGGGATCCTGCCAAGCTGGGAGCCTCCAGGCAGGCAGGCAGGGGGGAGGGGGGGTCCCAGTTGCCCCCCAACCCTCTTCTCCTCCCGCCCCAACTCACCTCCGGTTCCAAACTGGATGAGGATGTCCACCTCCCCCTCCTGCCGGCGGGTGAAGGTGAGGGGCGTCACCTGGCTCCACACCCGGAAGGCTCTGGCGAAAGCGTCTTCGATGATGGAGCCGTCCAGGTCAGGGGAATAGTTGACCACCCTGCCAAGGAGCAGAGGAGGAGGAGGAGGCTCGGAGGCTGCCAGTCTGCCAGGCGCCCCCAAGCAAGCCCTGCCCCGGCCCCTCTCCCCGCGCGCGCACACGCACGCACACGCACGCACGCCCGGGAAAACACGGGTCTGCCTCTGAGGGGAGGAGGGCAGCCTTCCCCGATCTGACTCTTGGGGTCCCCTCCACTTGCACTCCGCCGCGGGGGGGCGGGAGGGGGCTGTGAACCCGCCGACGGTGCCCGCTCGCTCACCGGTAGGTGAGGTCTGTGTGGTCCCACTTGAGGTCGCCCTGGAAGGTTTGGAAGCCACCCACGTCCGGCACTCCGCAGCGGGGCGCCCGCATGGCCGCGCGGGTGGAGGCGTCCAGCTGCCCTGTTTCCGGCAAGCCCAGCCGCTTCTGCATGGCCTTGAGGGGGGTCTCCAGCTTCACCTGTCCCCCGGGGTTGGTCCCCGTCAAGTACCCGTAACGCTGGAGGTAGCGCTGCGGAGGAGAGAAGAGGGCGCTAGCGGAGGGCTTCTGGCCCAGGAAGGCAGCCGGCGGAGGTGTGGCAAGCGGGGGACGGGCGGCGGGGGCGTGGGTGAGGACGGGGCAGGACCGTCTTGTTGACCTCGGTCACCCGGGGTCCACAGTCAGTCACTGGCACCCAATGAAGAGCCGGGTGGGGTCACAGGCGGGGTTGGTGTCTCACCACGGCGCCCGCACTTGCGCCACCTGACCTGGGCCGGGCGAGCGCAGCGCAGCGCCAGCTGAAAGCGCACGGGGCCTGCGGGGGCCTGGGGGCAGCCGGGCGCGCCGGAGGGATCGCGCCGCCCCGCTCGCTCTCGCCAAGTACGAAGTACCCTCCCGGCTCTGTCCAGCGTAGGGCCCGCGGGAGCGCGCAGCTTGGGGACTCACGAGGGCAAGCTCCCGGTCCGTCAAGCCGCTGACCGCGTCCCCGGGGAAGTGGACGACCAGCGGACCCTTCCCTTCCAGCGGGGCGGCCCTCGTGCAGGGCAGCGGCAGGAGCGCCAGGAGGAGGAGGAGGAGGCCCGGGGCTGCGGGGACCCTCATGGCTGCGGAGGCGAGGCGGGCGGGGGTCTCGGGTGCAGCGCGTCTCTCCTGCTCCGGGCTGCGGGTAGTGCCAAGCTCAGCCGAGCACAGCCGTCTGCAGCCCGACCGCCGGCGGGGCCCTTTATGGTCCTCGGGGAGAGCGAAGGGGGGGGGAAGGCTGAGTCAGCTGCGGTCCCTCCCCCGCACCCCGGACGAGGGGGAGAATCGGGGCGGGGGGGCTGCCACTTCCTGGACCTGTCTCAACAGGAAATGTGAAACACCGCCGGGACTGGCGGCGGGTTCGAAGAGGGCAGCCGTCCGCCTTGACGGGGCTCGCAAGCTGATGCCACCGCTGGGAGCCAACATCCCGGGGCCCACCTGGCTTCCCTGCCCCCCCCCCGCACCTGGTTCCTGGCCCTCTGTGGGTTGGCATTGGCAGCACCAGAGCCCCTTCAGGCGCTGCCCCACTGCCCCCTCGCTCCCTCCAACAGGGCAGGGTGGGATGGAGACCCTCAGGGCGAGGGGTGGGCTAGGAGAAGGGTGGCCTTGGGCTGCTGGATGGACCGGGGGGGGGGGGGCTGCCTGCCCCAGCCTCCAACCCAGGCCCCCTTCCTGGGCGTTCTTCTTTGTCTGACCAAGCCTCAGACACAGGCCCAGGCCCTGGGGGAGTGCTCGGGGCAGCCCTGGCTCTGTCTTGGGGTACATGGAGGAGGCCGGGACACTCCCAGAGCCTTCCCTTTCCCTCGTGCCTCCCCCCAAGAACAGGGCCCCGGGGCCTCTCTGCCAGACCAAGGGCCCCAGGGCCCTGAGGCAGGGGGCTGGCCCGTGAGGAGGGACCCTGGGCGGTTTCGCCCATACAGGCTGACCAGGAAGTTCTTGGACATCCTGGCTGAATTGGGAGTGCGGAGCTTTCACCCTGCAGGCTGCCCTCCCTCCCTCCCTCCCAGCCAGCCCTCCCCAAGTCCCAGGAGGGGGGACCTGGGCGCCCTAACACACCTTTCCCCTCGCCCTGCTGGCTGAAACCTTTGGGCCCACTGGAATGTGGCACTCAAGGTGAGGGGGGGGGCGGGGGGGAGCCCGGCAGCCTGTGGTTTCATCCCGCTGAGCTGGAGGCACTGAGCACAGCACGGCCTGTCCAGCTGCAGGGGAGGAACCGCTCCCTCCCTCGTGGGGCAACCTCTGCTGACCCCTCTCAGCGCTCCAGGGCTCTTCGTCTCCCCTCCAGGAGGAGGCAAAGGGCCCCCCTCCCCACCTTGGGCACATGGCGGTGGGGTGGGGGGGCTTGGCATGGCAAGTCCAAAGGGCTCCCTGTATAGAAAGGCTTTGTCAAAGCGAGCACCCAGGGAGGGCCACGTCCCACACACCCCCCCCATCCAGAAGGAGACTCTGGTTGTCTGCCCAGGGGAAGCTTATTCTGCAGGAGCCCCGGAGAGCTCAGATCCCCCGGGGTCATCCTGTGACTCGAGAGGGGCAGGGAATCCACACACCCCCCTCCAGTGACCCACCTGGAGTTTCCCTCTTCTGCTCCCAGACAGAGCCGGGGAGGCCGCCTCTGTCTCCCTGCCTCCTTCCAAGGTGTCTCATGGGGAAATCCCCAGGTGGGAGTGGGGGGGGGATTTTTCATGCCACCCAATGCCCATCCTCTCCCTCTGGGCGCTTGGGGCTCGGCGTGAAGCAGGAACCAAGGTTCGCCCCTTGCCTGCTGCCCGAAGACCCTGGTGTCCTGCATTTATCTGGGCTAGCGGCGTGTGAATGCAGCCCGGGTGACTTGTGCAGACAAGCTTTTCAAGGCGAGTGTGCTGGGAGACTGGTTGGTTGTCGATTAATGCTAGATCCGGGTCAGTCAAGTGCTGATTAGCAGAGGTACAGAGCTGGGAGGCAGCTGGGGTGCGTGTGTGTGTGTGTGTGCGTGTGTATCTTCTAATGCAACTTCCCCCATTTCAGACCAGCTCTGGTTAAAAACATCCAGCGTTGGAGCATCCACAACTTCTGGTGGCGAGCCATTCTGGTGGTTAACTGTTCTCACCGTTGGAAAGTTTCTCCTCAATTTCAGATTCCTTGATGACTTTTGTTTCTTCTTCTGCCTTCGGGGTCTTTGGAAAAGAAGTTGCCCGCCCCCGTCTTCTCTGGGGCAGCCCCTCAAATACTGGAAGACTGCCCTCCTGGGGTCCCTGGTCCTTCTCTTCACTACCCAATCCCAGCAACCGTTCTTGGTATGTTTTAGCCTCCAGCCCCTCATCCTCTTGGTTGCTTTTCTCTGCGCTCTTCCCAGAGTGGGCTTGGCAAAACAGAGGGTGCCCAAATGAGGACACAGGCTAAACCTACTTATTTATTTTAAACGTTTAGATAATATTTGCACCGTATCCAAGGAGGATGTCAGATCCGTGTATTGGCCATTCTTCAGTGGAAGAAGGGGGGAAGTTGGTACAAATAATCCTTTATGATGTAACCTGAATATAGTAAATCCTATATTGATTTTGTATAACTTGCACATGATATACACGATATACGTTGAAGAGATAACAGGATGAGAAGGAACCATAAAAATTCCAGCCCTGGAAGACGCTCCTGTGCACTACGCTAAGTTCCCAGACAGGGGGAGGGGGAATTACCTTGTGGGTTCTTTGTTTGACTAAATCCACATCTGAATGAGAGGAGGGGTTTTAGCTTCTTTTATCTAGGACTGTCTGCCTGCACATATCTTAAGACTCTGCTTTGCCTGGTGTTGAGATAAAATCCCTTTCGATAAAGGATTTCTTTTGGACCACCTGCTCTTCAGATTTCTTTTGGACCACCTGCTCTTCAACCTTTTCGGTTGAAGGGGAAAAGGTCCAGTTCTTATGAGGATGCCTGCATGCACTCAACCCCTGGCCTGCCAGGCCTAGGCCTCCATGGGGGGGGGGGG